AACATTTCCGAGAAGGCACCAACATTCTAGCAAGCTTTCTTTTGATTGATGATGTTCACATGGTTTGGAAACTAATTGATTCCTTCCATTTGTTTTATCAGAAAATTTATGGGTTCTTTTTGTTTACCAATTAAGTTTGTACTGCTACACTCAGGTGTTTTCTAGAATTAAATCCTTGGTGACTAAGGCTGATGCTTTACGAGTTGGGATTAGTGCTAGTGATGCTGCAATGACCCTGGGGGTTGCTCCGGCAATGGCAAAGGAGCATCTTCTTGCTGCTGAGGGAAAAGGTATATCTTTGCAAACTCATTTGCATTATTGCATGTGTCAGTCTAAACACAATGTACATTTGTTAATAATTGTGGATGTGATTGCTATCAGGCTTAAATGTGATGTAGTTAAATCTCACCATTTCTCATGCTTTAATAGAATACTGCACATGTGTTTTTATCCTATGGCTTTGTATTGAATTTTTTGAAAATATGTTTTTAACCTTTGATGTATCTAAACTTCAAAAGGAAAATCATTAAGCAAATGCTTTTAATAAGATTAACGATTTGTTTCATTCAAACACTATAGAAAATCCAAATGTGAATTTGTATCAACAGGACATTAACAATGCAACTTCATGCTGTTTTCAGGATTGTTATGCAGAGATGTAAGCCCTGATGGATTTAGATTCTTTATCAATATATTTCAAGACGTTGATGCTGATTATATATACTTGTAAGTATCTAGAATGCACACAACAGATTCAAATTGTTGGGGGGAAAAGTCATTTTTCTCCATTTTATTCGTAAGAAGTTATTTTCATTTGTCATATACTTCCGGGTCAGTATGAACTTATAAGTTGTCCTTGTGCATATATTACACATCTGCCCCACACCCTACTTTTTGTGAGATTTTACTTGGTATGTTGTTGATTAGGGCAAACCAATGTTCTTAGTGAATTTTAAGAGTAACCGTGTCGAATTTTGAATTGATGTGATCTTTTGCAGGCTATCTGCCATGTGGTGAATACATATTGGATAAATTTCACTAATGATGAATTTTAAGATCTTGAAGAAGTTTTGATACATTAAAAGTCAACAAATGCAAATAAGTGTACATGGCAACAATGTATTTGCTATTGTTCTATCATTTTCTGTTTGTTAGCTGTGAAAATAATAGGGGATTTATATGCAAACTAATTGAACTTACAAATTATAGGGCATTGCTTTCTTCTTATTCTTCTCTAGGGCATAACAAAGAGACATCTTTGGAGTAATGTCATGTTTCTATACTACTACTATAGTAGCAATTCTTCACACTCCACTCAAATTGGAGTGTACAAATTATATGCTATAATCTTATATGTGTGACAATGTGTTCGAATATGATCTTTTCTCAAATAAAATGAAAGCCTATTTCGATGTGCTTGGTCCTCTTGCGGTATACTGGATTTAGTGCAATGTGAATTGTTGAATGATCATTAATCACACATTAATTGTACTAGTTCTTTGCTTTCATATCGCTATTCTTGAGGTGTTTCAGCCATAAGCTCTCCCGTGGAGTGAGCCATTTCATGGTATTTTGCTTCAACACTTGATCTCGCAACCTCATCTTGCTTCTTTCTCTTTCAAGAGATTAATTTTCACCATTCAAGATACAACACCCCATATGTGGATTGTTTATCTATCAGTTAAGAACCCTAGTTTGCACCACATTATATCACAATTTTATTATGACCTTTGTATCCATGAAGTAATTCTTTCCGTGATGTTTTGTTGTTGATCTTAGAGCTCATATTCTAGATATGAAATTATCTACAAATAGTTAGGCTCCGTTTGGTACACGGAATTCAAACTATGGAATTGGAATTGAGGACTTCAATTCCAATTCTCATGTTTGGTAGCACAAAAATTATGTGGATTTGGAATTGGTAGTGCAAAAAATGAATTGAAATTGGTGAATTCAATTCTATGGAATTGAATCCCATAGAATTTTAATTCCAATTCTATCAATTCCGTGTACCAAACGGACCCTTATTCTTTATGACCCAGGCCCTACTTATTGGGGGAATCTACTGGGTTTGTTGTTGTAGTTATTCTTTGTGACATGTTCTATGAAAACGTCACCTCAATTGTCGTGTGAATAGTTCTCTTAACTGGTCCTTTTGCAAAATAATATGCAAATTCGTGTTGCTTTACCTGACAAATGCTGTCTAGCTTTCAGTTGCTTAGTTCGTGGCACATCATTCTTTAAATTTAGAAACTAAGCCATGCGATACTGCCATTCATGTGAATTCCTACAGGGTAAAAGATCATGGAATCTATGCAGATTGGATTAGTTCTGCCTCAACCCAAAGGTCTGTATTTTCTACCAAGGATGTGTTTGGTTAGGAGAATTTTTCATTGTTTGCTAGGAAGGAAATTACTTTCCCAAGTCCGGGTATTTAAAAATATGTTTTAAAGATAATTTAAAACTATTTTAACAACACAAGAGCGGGCAACATAGGGTGGGGGTGTTAGCTTGGGTAAAAGATTTGGAAAAACACCCCTCCTCCCCCCAACCCAACCAAACACACCTTAAATCTTTTGTTGTTTTACACTTTGATGCTTATTAGCAGTAACGACGCTCTATATTTTTTCAGGCAGGGGTAAAGTATGTGTACACTGGACTTGTTGATGTTACAACCGGAAGCCATTTTCTCGGTTGAAACCGATGATCATCTTGATTAGAAGCATCACAAGAATCCCTTGGTCAAAGAAGTATGTTCTTGTTACTTGAGCAGTAGGCCACTTCATGGTAATAATTTGAAGGGAAAAGGGCAATTAGGTGAGGCTTCCCATAGCACTTTTGGTGGGGGAGAAACGAGGATTGGCCATATACTATTTGTCAGTTTTGGGTTTTCAAATTAGTGATAGATTGTAGAATAAGGTTGCGCTCCGTTCACCTGTTCACCTGATCTGAGTTTTTGAAGATCTTATCTGGTTGCAGTTATAATTAAAGCTTGTCTTTGATCTAGTCTGAATTGGTCTCATTTGATTAAGAATAAGTAGTCCTAATAAGTAGAAAAAATAAGTTGAACGGAACGCTGCCCTTACCCAAGAGCCAATTTGGTGACCCAAACTTGTTGATAAGATACTAGTTTTTAAATTGGAATCAAGAGCCAATTTGGTGACCGAAGATGTTGATAAGTACAATTTATTTATTTAAATTGGTTTTCTTCCTTTTCAATATTGAAATTTTAGTTCAAATACTGACTATAGAAATAAAGAAAATGATTAGTGTAGAAAACACATACAAGCTGCAAAGTCGAAGGGTTTTCCTTATGTTATTTTGCTACTTTTTCATCTCAAATTTAGTTGTTTATTTATTATTTATATGGTCAAATTTTATTTACTTGCTTTCGAAATAAACTTATCTACTTTCTTTTCTTATTTTTGCTATTTATTTGATAAAATTATATAGTAATGTCACATCTTGTTTAATAAAGCTTTTGAAACAGTTTTTTCATACATGATTTTTTAAAAAAATTTCATTTCAATTCTTTAATAAATTACACTGAAAATAATTTTAGTCAAACATTATAAATTGAAAAAGATGATTTAAATAGTAACGGAGAGTGATATTTTTTGTTTGTGTGTGTGTGGCATATCCTAGTTGGCAAGTGAGGTGTGCTCCAAGAGATAATACTCGAGATTGGTAAGGCAATGAAAGACCATCATGCTAAGGATTAAGCTATTTGTGTCCCAAGAATTGTACGCCAATTTGTACACCATAGGTTTGCACTTTTATTTTGTGTTAGTGTAATGTTAGGGTGATAGTCCATATATATACAAAAGGTTAGTGCAATTTTTTGTAAACGCACCAGCATCTTGTGTCAGTTACTCAGTTTGAACCATCAAAATGTTAGTGTATATATATCTTTGGTATAACTTTGGGGTACACTTTTTGGCGTAAGTCTAAACCGTCAAAACGTTATATTCTTGCACATAATAAAGATGAATAACTTGTTGCTATTATTTTCTTACACTAAAAACTGTACCCCAAAGTGACTTGTTACTTTTATTTTGTATGTACACACCAGCATTTTGTATCAATGTGAATCGTCAAAACATTACTCTGTATATTCTTGCACCTAATAAAGATGAATTCAAGCTTCGTAATTGATTATGAAATTAATTTTGAGTCAAAGATTGTTTTTAGAAAGAAAATTGGAGTTGAAACTAGGGAGTTTGGCGAGAGTGCATGAAGTTTTATCTCATCCATTTTATTATCATAATCTTATATACACACTTTGACCTTGTTTGAAAACGTTATTTTTCATTAATGTTAGTGTTCAATATGAACATTATAATTTACTTTAAAAATGATAAAATAAATGTTACTTAAATTTAAACGCAAAACCATTTCTAAACAATAATCCACACGGTCAGATTCAACATTCGCAACATTGGTGGAGATTGGATATTTGAGTTTAGAGAGAGAGAGAGTAATTCTAGAAAGAGAAAGTATTAAGTTTGTTACTTGTACTATTCTTCTCAAAATATGTTTGCTTTTCACTGTATTAATATGACACTTTATATTGATAATTTATTATAGTTTTTGGTGTTATATGTTCTTATTGACTTTATAAATTATATTTTAGAAATAAAAAATTAAGATATTGTATTTTTACTTCTTTTCCAATGTTTACTCATATTTAAAATTCTTTTGAATGAAAAAATCTAACAATATTGAAAGAAATTAAGCTGGCATACCCGGTAAACCTAATGAATCAGGCAACAGTAGAAGCAGAATTTGAGAAGAAGGTTGCGATTGGTGACGAAATGGAAGAAGTTGTGGAAGGTAATGGCGGCGGCGGCAATGGAGATGATGAGACACGCACGACTCCCTTAGTGATAGCGGCGTTGCTCCGCCGATTTCTCGCCTTGCAGCAACGCAGAGCACAAGCCTATGCTAAGCTCAAGAGGTGATGAAGTGCGTTTTTTCTAGTTTTATGTATTATCCCAGCCTAGATTTTGTTATGGTTGATTCAATTCACTTTTTTTTTTCAAATTTATGTTTTAAGTTAGAATTATTCATTTCTGGATTGTTATTTGTTCTACAGGGGGTTTGAGGATTACATGGTTTCTGGAGTTGAATTGGCTTACCAGAAACTCTGTAGAGAGATCACAGTTGAATTCAGTGATTGCTCAAAACAAGTTAATCAGTCACTCATGCTGGAAGCATATTATATATTTCTGATTGTTTTATATTTTTTCTGTTATGGTTTTCCGCTTTCAGAACTTTTAATTCTCTGGGTGTAAAATCGGTGCTTCTTCACTCGTGTAGGTCCTTGAAATTGAGTCACAGCTTCTCACTCACAGTTGCTTCAGAGAGGATTTAGCTGGCTTATTAAGATCGGTTCAAGCACAAGAGAAGCAGAAGTTGCAATTGGTATGTGTTCAATTTTTCATCATTTCATTGCTCCCTTGACATTACAATAACAAAACCAAGCGGCTAAAAANTTTTTCTGTTATGGTTTTCCGCTTTCAGAACTTTTAATTCTCTGGGTGTAAAATCGGTGCTTCTTCACTCGTGTAGGTCCTTGAAATTGAGTCACAGCTTCTCACTCACAGTTGCTTCAGAGAGGATTTAGCTGGCTTATTAAGATCGGTTCAAGCACAAGAGAAGCAGAAGTTGCAATTGGTATGTGTTCAATTTTTCATCATTTCATTGCTCCCTTGACATTACAATAACAAAACCAAGCGGCTAAAAAAGGTTAAAGAAAACGACATGTGTGCTTATTTTCTTGGTTTGGGTTTCTTTATAAAAACAATGGAATTGGGAAAGATTCTCACTATAATGTACTATCCTCTGGCCTAGCCAACTAAGGTTGGGTTTTCTTCAGTAGACATTTTGCAACAAGGGAAGGTTACATATATCAAATATCCCCCCCCCCCAAACTGATGAAAGGATCAATATGAAGTCTAAAAAGGACTGCACAAAGCATCTCCTCAAGGGTACCAACCCCAATGGTGTAATGCAGTCAAACACCATCCCATTGATGATATAGAAATTTTGAAATTAATTAGAAAGATGTATCCGGAATCTTGCAACTTTCCATTGTATATAGTGCTTGAAAAAAGGAGATCAATGCTTTATAGCATTGATGTTGATGGCCTAATTTCTTTGTTAGCTGTCTGACTTTCTCATGTCAAATAAATAGAGAAGCTAAATATGATCGCCTTTTTGGATTCTACTGTTTACAAACTGAAAGTTCTTTCAGAATGTATATGAAAACCAAACTTGGATTGAATAATCATTCCCGTTTCAGAATCACATCCTAGGAAGCTCTTGATTTAGTTTAAATGTAACTGTCAAGGAACCAACTCAACCAAAGTATGTGGTTGTGGCCCCTTAAAGGTTTTTACGGAGTAACTTTTTATATATTCTAACACGCCCCCTCACATGTAGATGTAATCTTTTCGAGCCTTGCACGTGAAACTTTAAATTTTTAAAATTGGGTGGTGCTGATTTTCGAACCTGTGACCTCTTAGTAAACAAAGCTCCGATATCATGTGAAGTAACCAACTCAACCAAAACCTCAAACTTATGGTTGTGGCACAAGAAAGGTCATTTATTTTCTAATAGTAACCTAATCAATTAATCCCAATTTGGATTCCCATGAATTGATTCATTGGAATAGTAATTGTGAACATTCTTGAACCAATTCTACTATCTTCTATTTTCTGTTGGGAGTTGGGTTTTCAACCAATGCTCCCTTTGTCTGACAGACAGCTACTATGCAAGTGTTGAAAAAAGCCGGACGCCCTTCAGAACGTATAGTGAGCCATGAAAATTGTAGATTCAGCAAGCCAACAGGGCATGAATGTGTACATATCCAGAAGATTACCGAAGCTTCAGGAACTGAAGAGGCAGAGGCTGACGCGGAATATGAAAATGCTCTAAAGGAAGCCATAAAAGGTGTCCAGGATGCCGTGACTGTCATAAACGAACATCTGGAAGAGGTCAGGTATGAAATTGCATCACTTGAAGATTGTAGTTGAGGGGCGGGTCTACTGCGTATAGTTTTATTCTTTAGGTTTTTTGCAATGGATTTCTTTGAATCCATTTCTAAGACATATAAAGGTTTATTCCCACCAAAAAAAGAAAAGAGCCCAGGCCATTCACTTCCTTTTGTCAACCTTCAGGATTCATCTTTTCTTATTAATGCCTTCAATGGTAGAGCCTACTAGCCACTGCACTCTTCATCTATAACGTTCTTCAGAAATCTTGGAATCAAAGTACTCCTTGTATTTGATGATACATATGTACTCAGCAGTCATGTTTTTCCTATTAAGTTTGAGTATATTTTTAGACTTTTAGTAGACTAATCAAAAACTTTGTTAGAATGATATTGGTTGTCAACTTTTACTTGCTGCTTTTTATGAAATTGTCTGGTTAAGGGCTTAAGGCACTAAACTCTCCCATGAACAATATGCCAAAGTACATACAAGTACAATATTCAAACTAATTCGTGCCTTCTATGCACAAAAAATACTCGAAGGATAAACATTCATGCAAATACTCCAAAAATTAAATTTTGTTGTTAAATTTGGTATGTAACGCCCTAAAAAATATTTTTTGCGAAAGAGCACTCCATTAGTTTCAGACATATTTTCTCAAAACAACCATGCATATCCACGGGAAACGGTCTCTCCATCCTTCATAGGTCCAGACAAGGTTTAACAAAGCCTGCTGTGAAATATTCTGTTGTTAGCTTCTTATTCCTAATGAAGGGTTAGGCAATAAATGCCGCGATGCTTCAAAGGTCTAATAGAAATAGGTTATAGGTTAGAAGATCAACTGACCATTGCATAAGACTATTGCTATTGAGTCTTTAAAACAAGTGTTCTTCTTCTTCATACACATAACAAGCAAAACATGCAATACAAAGCTCCCATCTTTATTCTAAAGAATCACATACATTTTGCGCTCTCACTACATGAGAGCCTCGAGGAGAGCTTTGCGTGCTCTGAGAGTCTGGGCCCCACGACTCTTGAACTTGAGCAGCAAACTGCACATTCCAAATGAGGTCCTCGACCGATGGACGAGAAGACATGTCCTTCGACACACATCTTGTGCAAAGCTCTATCATGGTTTTGAGCGAGTGGTCCGAGCATTCCTTGCTCACTGAAGGGTCGACGATGTTTCGTCGTGCTAGCTCATCTGCACCTAGGCTTACATATAGCTGCATAGACAATGAATGTAAAACTTAGCAAACATTTTTGTCTTTGAAACTTTCTTAAGCTATCAAACCAAGTGGTCCTTATCAATGTCACATATGCATAAGAATTAATTGTTATAGTAAAGCATTTCTTAGAGTTTTAGTCACAAGTTTGAGTTTATGGTTGAATTGGTTTTTAACATATTGTCAAACTCTCGCTGACAATGTACACAACATTGGTCACACACGAGATCAAATCTTTTGGATGAGTTGGTCACAAGTTCAAATCAGTGTCACCTAAATTTTAAAAATCGATGTTTGTTTACATGCAAGACTTGAGTATAAAACAAATCTCGCTTGCACATGTGGAAGATGTCTAGAGTTTAAAATATTTCATGGAACTTTGAATACAAAGTTTGAGCTTTTTTTCTTAATTATAATTTCTTAATAGTATTAAAAAGTAAAAACTCGAAGTCCAATCTCAAAATGTTAACCTCGATATGTCTTCGAGGTCTTATATGTCGATTTGTGTGCAAAGAAGAGACCTTACCAAGTCTTTGCAAACCTCAATGTCATTTGGGGTTGTGATTTTCCTCCCCATTATGAGTTCAAGTAAGATTACTCCAAAGCAATAGACATCATTGTCATCCTCAGATTCCAACCTACACGCACTCAAAATTTATCAACTTTTTCTAGCAGAGGAAAGAGATGTAATGTCATCACAATTCGCATTTCACATCGATAAAAGATGTGATTCATTTCATACCTCTCTGCAATAGCATTCTCCTTCCCTCCGCGAGATGATGCGCCTAAAGAATCCTATACAAAGTTATTCATCTTAAAAATGTAAAAGCGGCCGATGAAAGCTACATAATGCCCTTTGTATATCACGAGTATGATTATGATCCCCTTCTCTAATGAAATTGGAGTACTTATAGAAAGAATAGTTCAATCAACCACATCCTTCTTTGGAAAGTAAGGGGATCGTGCCCGGTATTATGGAAGACTAACACTATGTTTGGTTCAAGGATTTTGGAAGGAAAAGATAAGAAAATGATTTTCTCACACTTTCCTCCCTAACATGGAAAGAATTTGGTTCTCTTCTTTTAATATATTTTGCCTTCTTAATTTCTTTTCCTTTCACGATTTCTTTCTTTTCCTCTATAACCAAACATGAAAATCAGTTTCACTTCATTTTCTTTTCTTTTCCCTTTCAAATTCCTCGAACCAAACATAGGGTAAGGGGATTGTCCCCTAACCTTAGCATCTACCTCACCCACGACTTTGGTGGGTTTTGCCTCACTTTTGGATCGGGTGAATCCGACCCATTTCACGTGACCTAGACCCTCTAGCCAATAGATACAAATATTAAAGTCCAGCAAGAATAATCACATCCAAAGATTGTAATTTGAAGTAATTAAAGGAAGAAATTGTGTTTATCTCTACTTACCTCACACTTGTTCTCAGCCAACAAAGGCAGATTGTACTTGCTGATCTTCACATTGATGTTATGATCAAGTAATATATCTGTAATCTTCAGTTGGTTTGAGAAGATGCCTCCGACTATTCCGGTGTGTAGAAACTGGATTCCCCTTGCGATCCCTAATGCCGCTGTCATCCTCTGTGACCATGAAAACTTCTTCTGCCCAATATTTCCATCTGCAATACAATATATGATCGAGCTGAGGTCTTAAACTTCTCGCCCAACCTACCGCCCCACAATTGGTGCGTTTACTTACAAAAACACATCAAAAATGTTATATACTATGCATTTCTTTATAGATACTTCCATTCTAGAGTATACTTGCCTATGCATCCGGCTCTAACCACACTAAAAGTTTGAATCCATTCGATTATATAGTTCAAATCAATGACATAAACAATATTTGCACCTGATAGGACCTCTCTCAGCGTCCCATTGGGCACGAACTCAAACACGAGGAAAATCCCGGAAACGCTAGAATCATCGTGATCGCACTCGAAGCAATGGCCAATGGCACTGACCAAGTGGCAATGCCTGATTTTCGAGAGCAGTTCGAGCTGGTGAGTGTAGTGCTGGATGCAATGCTTCTTCTTCCTCACCCTCAATGCTCTTATGGCAACTGTTGTCCCATCAGTGAGAATGCCTTTATATACCTGACAATGGCCTTCTCCTATTACGTTCGGCGCGCCAAAATTATCCGTAGCCTCCCTAAGCTCATCCATAGTAAATGCCCGATATGGAGGAATGCCAAGTGGTGCCAACTTCCGGGTTTCAGAAATATACCCTGTGAAATACGTACACGGGCTCAGTCTAGCTATGTTCATGCACTAGTAAACATAATGGAGTAAGCATTCGTGTTGATCAAAGGTAGTCATGGAAGGAGTGACCCCCACCCTACCTAGCCCCTTGTATTTTGCCGATTTGCTACAGTTGTGTAAGCAGGAAGGCTAAGGGGTAAGGTAGAGGCTGAGGGGTTTGTCTGGGGTTAGGAGGTTGGAACCACTTTGGGATCGAAGGGAGCAACCATAGGACACTCAAAACAGGTGCCAAAAGAATGGTGGTGAAAAATTATTTCCTAAAAACCTTAATGATTCAATGTGAGGATTGTGAGGTGTTTGATAGAAAATGCAGTCTTACTTGCATCATTTAGCAGCTTTAGAGTGTCCACCGCCGAGACGGTTTCCATTATCTGTCGAACACGCGGTTTCTTGTTAGCTTTCTTCTCAGGAAATCTCATCTTTACAAAGATGGCCAGAGCCAGAAGGCCTATCCCTCCAACAACCCCTCCCACTATTGCTGCATATCCCTTTTTCTTCTTATGTTTTGTAGGAACAATCCTAACAGCAAATGCTTCATTGTGACAGAACGCATATCGGTGCTGCCATTGTTTCACATTCGACAAGCAGTTACCGGAACACAAAACGGTCTTCCTTCCGTGTCCCAAACAATCGGGCAGTTCCCCGGTCAGGCGGTTGGATGACAATGCCACATAAGAGAGCTGTGAGCTGCCACATGACATGTTCTTGGAGAGCTTGCCAGTGAGTTTGTTCCCAGAAATGTCAAGATATTCAATGGATGGCATTGAGAGCAAGAATGGTGGGAAGGGTCCCACAAACCCATTGAAAGACAAATCAATCTTTGTTAACATATAACATGACTTCACTTCATCTGGTATCCCAAGCCCAAACCTGTTGTTCTTCAGCACCAAAGACACTAACTTTATGGGCAGAATGGGGAAATTCGGGCCGAAACCATTCCCTTCCAAATCAAGAATTTGGAGATTTGTCAAATTGCGAAAATTTGGCAAATTCCCAGAGAGATTGTTTGCAGAAAGAACAAGGGTTCTTAATGGTTTCAACCCAGACAATGATTTTGGCAAGAAACCAGAAAAAGAATTGTTCTTTAGACTCAGAACAGTCAAAGAAGGGAGTGAAGCTAGCCAGTCAGGAATCTGACCTGTGAACATGTTGTTGTCCAACACAAGTGTCTGGAGGCCCTTCAAAGAAGCCATCTCCATTGGAAGGGACCCACTGAAGAAATTTGAGCTTAAATTCATGATTTCCAGAGAAGACAGAAGCCCAATACTTGAGGGCAAAGGGCCTCTGAGGCCCAAAGAAACTAAAGTGAGGACCTTCAAGTTAGGGAGGGCATCAAGATTGGAGAAAAGGGCAGAAATGGAAATATCTCTGGGAAATTTGGGGAAGAAGGTGAAGTTCCCATTGAGATGAAGCTGGGTTATGTTGTCCTCATAGCAAACTAGGGTTAAGATTGGGATTGGGTTAGTGTTGCAGAAATCTGAGCTATCACTCCAGCTGCTAAGCTCTTCTGGTAAACTCATCTGCTGCTTTATCTTCTGAACAGCCATATACTGCGCAGGTGGAAGGATTTGCTCTGAGTGATGAACCATGAGAAAGAACAAGAAAAATCTTAGCTTTAATGGGTTCTTCTTCTTCCTCTTCTTCATCTGCACCAACTCTTCCATGGCAGACTTTCTGCTACTTGGCTTAATTGGGATTTCACTGGGATCTTGATTTTCACTTATTTTAATTTTTTTTGGTTTGGATGATTTATTTGTTAACCGGAAATAGAAAAGATGAGAAGTGGAAGAGAGCTTCATCAGTGACAGTTGAGGAAAAAGCAGAGCTGCATGCATTATTGGCTGAAATCTTTTGCATCAGTGCTGCTGTACTGTACCACCACAGCAATAATACTTCTTATAATTTACACTACGCAAAATAAATAAAATATCACGTTTTTTCAATTCATCATTTATGGATTGGGATATATAGTCAATGAAATTATTTTATTCCATAAAATAGTCAATAAAAACAAACAAATAAACAAAACTTTTAACTGTGTTTCCTACCTTCAAACCCCATAAAACCACTTTCTGATTTCACTAGTATGCTACACTACACTACAACGGCGAATCCAAGAGAGTTGGGGTGTAGCATAAAAGCGAACCTGGAGGTGGGTTGGGAGTAGAGGTGAGCTTGAGGGGTTTGTAAGGGGTAAAAATCATTTCGAAGTCGAACAAAGTTGTGACATATAATGATAGTGGTGTTACAAGAAAACAACCTATTTGAACGGATAATTTGATGTAATTTTTAAATATATACGTTGTACATTTTTTTAATAGAAAAAGTTGTATATTGTATGATTTGAACAAATTGAATTCAAAGGAACAAAAATACTCTTTTCGTCCATAAATGAATGTTCTTCCTACTTTCCTCTTTGGTCTTTACAGGAATATTTTTCCATTTCTTTTTTTAGTTACTTTTTTAGAGTAAATGTGTATAATATCCTTCCACTTGAATAACCATCGATTCAAATTCATTCACATCCAAATTAAAGAAGGGATATATATGGAAGTTTGAAATTTTTTTTCCTACTTCCTAATAAATGTGTCAAGTCAATATGAGAATAATATTTTCAAAATAAACGTGTCAAGTCAATTTGAGAAAAATATGTTGGGTTTGGGCTCCCAACTATGTGTCATCTTTAAATTAAAAGGCCCAAATATTTTTGGAGGATAAGTCTTCAATGCATTTTTGTCCACATATTTTTGAGAGTAAAAGTTTGGCAGCTGTCTACTACCACAACACGGATATTCACGCACAAAAAGAGAGAAAAACAGCCGCAAGAAGTGAGATAGCCGCTGCCATTTTCAGAAAAATGCAGACCTGGTTTTTTGGTCGATCGGAGGTCCAAAGCTTGTCCGATCGAGCTGAAATTTTAGGAGGAGTCTNTCCCATTGATTATATAGAAAATTTGAAATTAATTAGAAAGATGTATCCGGAATCTTGCAACTTTCCATTGTATATAGTGCTTGAAAAAAGGAGATCAATGCTTTATAGCATTTATGTTGATGGCCTAATTTCTTTGTTAGCTGTCTGACTTTCTCATGTCAAATAAATAGAGAAGCTAAAAATGATGGCCTTTTTGGATTCTACTGTTTACAAACTGAAAGTTCTTTCAGAAAGTATTTGAAAACCAAACAATCTTTTGGATTGAATAATCATGCCCGTTTCAGAATCACATCCTAGGAAGCTTTTGATTTAGTTTAAATGTAACTGTCAAGGAACTAACTCAACCAAAGCTTGTGGTTGTGGCCCCTTAAGGGTTTTTATGGAGTAACTTTTTTTTTATATTCTAACACGCCCCCTCACATGCAGACGTAATCTTTTCGAGCCTTGCACGTGAAACTTTAAATTTTTAAAATTGGGTGGCGTTGATTTTCAAACCTGTGACCTCTTAGTAAACAAAGCTCCGATATCATGTCAAGTAACCAACTCAACCAAAACCTCAAACTTGTGGTTGTGGCACAAGAAATGTTATTTATTTTCTAAGAGTAACTTAATCAATTAAACCCAATTTGAATTCCCATGAATAGATTTGTTGGAAAGGTAATTGTGAACATTCTTGAACCAATTCTACTATCTTCTATTTTCTGTTGGGAGTTGGGTTTTCAACCAATGCTCCCTTTGTCTGACAGACAGCTACTATGCAAGTGTTGAAAAAAGCCGGACGCCCTTCAGAACGTATAGTGAGCCATGAAAATTGTAGATTCAGCAAGCCAACAGGGCATGAATGTGTACATATCCAGAAGATTACCGAAGCTTCAGGAACTGAAGAGGCTGAGGCTGATGCGGAATATGAAAATGCTCTAAAGGAAGCCATAAAAGGTGTCCAGGATGCTGTGACTGTCATAAACGAACATCTGGAAGAGGTCAGGTATGAAATTGCATCACTTGAAGATTGTAGTTGAGGGGCGGCTCTACTGCGTATAGTTTTATTCTTTTGGTTTTTTGCAATGGATTTCTTCGAATCCATTTCTAAGACATAAAGGTTTATTCCCCCCCAAAAAAAGAAAAGAGCCCAGGCCATTCACTTCCTTTTGTCAACCTTCAGGCTTCATCTTTTCTTATTAATGCCTCCAATGGTAGAGCCTACTAGCCACTGCACTCTTCATCTATAACGTTCTTCATAAATCTTTGAATCAAAATACTCCTTGTATTTGATGATACATATGTACTCAACAGTCATCTTTTTCCTATTAAGTTTGAGTATACTTTTAGACTTTTACTAGACTAATCACAAACTTTGTTAGAATGATGTTGGTTGTCAACTTTTACTTGCTGCTTTTTATGAAATTGTCTGGTTAAGGGCTTAACGCACAAAACTGTCCCATGAACAATGTGCCAAAGTACATACAAGTACAATATTCAAACTAATTCGTGCCTTCTATGCACAAAAATACTCGAAGTATAAACATTCATGCAAATACTCCAAAAAAATAAATTTTGTTGTTAAATTTTGTATGTAAAGCTCTAAAAAAAATATTTTTACGAAATAGCACTCCATTAGTTTCAAACATGTCTTTTCAAAACAACCATGCATATCCACGGGAAACGGTCTCCATCCTTCATAGTTCCAGACAAGGTTTAGCAAAGCCTGCTGCGAAATATTATGTTGTTAGCTTCTTATTCCCAATGAAGGGTTAGGCAATAAATGCCGCGATGGTTCAAAGGTCTAATAGAAATAGGTTAGAAGATCAATTGACCATTGCATAATGACTATTGCTATTGAGTCTTTAAAACAAACGTTCTTCTTCTTCATACACGTAACAAACAAAACATGCAATACAAAGCTCCCATCTTTATTCTAAAGAATCACATACATTTTGCGCTCTCACGACATGAGAGCCTCGAGGAGAGCTTTGCGTGCTCTGAGAGTCTGGGCCCCACGACTCTTGAACTTGGGAGGCAAACTGCACATTCCAGATGAGGTCCTCAACCGATGGACGAGAAGACATGTCCTTCGACACACATCTTGTGCAAAGCTCTATCATGGTTTTGAGCGAGTGGTCCGAGCATTCCTTGCTCACCGAAGGGTCGATGATGTTTCGTCGTGCTAGCTCATCTGCAGCTAGGCTTACATATAGCTGCATAGACAATGAATGTAAAACTTAGCAAACATTTTTGTCTTTGAAACTTTCTTAAGCTATCAAACCAAGTGGTCCTTATCAATGTCACATATGCATAAGAATTAATTGTTATATTAAAGCATTTCTTAGAGTTTTAGTCACAAGTTTGAGTTTATGGTTGAATTGATTTTTTAACATATTGTCAAACTCTCGCTGACAATGTACACAACATTGGTCACACACAAGATCAAATCTTTTGGATGAGTTGGTCACAAGTTCAAATCAGTGTCACCTAAATTTTAAAAATCAATGTTTGTTTACATGCAAGACTCGAGTATAAAACAAATCTCGCTTGCACATGTGGAAGGTGTCTAGAGTTTAAAATATTTCATGGAACTTTGAATACAAAGTTTGAGCTTTTTTTCTTAATTATAATTTCTTAATAGTATTAAAAAGTAAAAACTTGAAGTCCAATCTCAAAATGTTAACCTCGATATGTCTTCGAGGTCTTATATGTCGATTTGTGTGCAAAGAAGAGACCTTACCAAGTCTTTGCAAACCTCAATGTCATTTGGGGTTGTGATTTTCCTCCCCATTATGAGTTCAAGTAAGATTACTCCAAAGCAATAGACATCATTGTCATCCTCAGATTCCAACCTACACGCACTCAAAATTTATCAACTTTTTCTAGCAGAGGAAAGAGAAGTAATGTCTTCACAATTCGCATTTCACATCGATAAAAGATGTGATTCATTTCATACCTCTCTGCAATACCATTCTCCTTCCCTCCGCGAGATGATGCGCCTAAAGAATCCTATACAAAGTTATTCATCTTAAAAATGTAAAAGCGGCCAATGAAAACTACATAATGCCCTTTGTATATCACGAGTATGATTATGATCCCCTTCTCTAATGAAATTGGAGTACTTCTAGAAAGAATAGTTCAATCAACCACATCCTTCTTTGGAAAGTAACGGGATTGTGCCCGGTATTATGGAAGACTAACACTATGTTTGGTTCAAGGATTTTGGAAGGAAAAGATAAGAAAATGATTTTCTCACACTTTCCTCACTAAAATGGAAAGAATTTGGTTCTCTTCTTTTAATACATTTTGCCTTCTTAATTTCTTTTCCTTTCACGATTTCTTTCTTTTCCTCTCTAACCAAACATGAAAATCAGTTTTTCACTTCATTTTCTTTTCTTTTCACTTTCAAATTCCTCGAACCAAACATAGGGTAAGGGGATTGTCCCCTAACCTTAGCATCTACCTCACCCACGACTTTGGTGGGTTTTGCCTCACTTTTGGATCGGGTGAATCCGACCCATTTCACGTGACCTAGACCCTCTAGCCAATAGATACAAATATTAAAGTCCAGCAAGAATAATCACATCCAAAGATTGTAATTTGAAGTAATTAAAGGAAGAAATTGTGTTTATCTCTACTTACCTCACACTTGTTCTCAGCCAACAAAGGCAGATTGTACTTGCTGATCTTCACATTGATGTTATGATCAAGTAATATATCTGTAATCTTCAGTTGGTTTGAGAAGATGCCTCCGACTATTCCGGTGTGTAGAAACTGGATTCCTCTTGCGATCCCTAATGCCGCTGTCATCCTCTGTGACCATGAAAACTTCTTCTGCCCAATATTTCCATCTGCAATACAATATATGATCGAGCCGAGGTCTTAAACTTCTCGCCCGACCTACCGCCCCACAATTGGTGCGTTTACTTACAAAAACACATTAAAAATGTTATATACTATGCATTTCTTTATAGATACTTCCATTCTAGAGTATACTTGCCTATGCATCCGGCTCTAACCAAACTAAAAGTTTGAATCCAATTGATTATCAAGTTCAAATCAATGACATAAACAATATTTGCACCTGATAGGACCTCTCTCAGCGTCCCATTGGGCACGAACTCAAATACGAGGAAAATCCCGGAAATGCTAGAATCATCGTGATCGCACTCCAAGCAATGGCCAATTGCACTGACCAAGTGGCAATGCCTGATTTTCGAGAGCAGTTCGAGCTGGTGAGTGTAGTGCTGGATGCAATGCTTCTTCTTCCTCACCCTCAATGCTCTTATGGCAACTGTTGTCCCATCAGTGAGCATGCCTTTGTATACCTGACAATGGCCTTCTCCTATTACGTTCGGGGCGCCAAAATTATCCGTAGCCTCCCTAAGCTCATCCATAGTAAATGCCCGATATGGGGGGATGCCAAGTGGTCCCAACTTCCGGGTTTCAGAAATATACCCTGTGAAATACGTGCACGGGCTCAGTCTAGCTATGTTCAGGCACTAGTAAACATAATGGAGTAAACATTCATGTTGATCAAAGGTAGTCATGGAAGGAGTGACCCCCACCCTACCTAGCCCCTTGTATTTTACCGATTTGCTACAATTGTGTAAGCAGGGAGGCTAAGGGGCAAGGGAGAGGCTGAGGGGTTTGTTTGGGGTTAGGAGGTAGGAACCACTTTGGGATCGATGGGAGCAACAATAGGACACTCAAAACAGGTGTCAAAAGAACGGTGGTGAAAAATTATTTCCTGAAAACCTTAATGATTCAATGTGAGGATTGTGAGGTGCTAGAGAGAAAATGCAGTCTTACTTGCATCATTTAGCAGCTTTAGAGTGTCCGCCGCCGAGACAGTTTCCATTATCTGTCGAACATGCGGTTTCTTGTTAGCTTTCTTCTCAGGAAATCTCATCTTTACAAAGATGGCCAGAGCCAGAAGGCCTATCCCTCCAACAACCCCTCCCACTATTGCTGCATATCCCTTTTTCTCCTTATGTTTTGTAGGAACAATCCTAACAGCAAATGCTTCATTGTGACAGAACGCATATCGGTGCTGCCATTGTTTCACATTTGACAAGCAGTTACCGGAACACAAAACGGTCTTCCTTCCGTGTCCCAAACAATCGGGCAGTTCCCCGGTCAGGCGGTTGGATGACAATGCCACATAAGAGAGCTGTGAGCTGCCACATGACATGTTCTTGGAGAGCTTGCCAGTGAGTTTGTTCCCAGAAATGTCAAGATATTCAATGGATGGCATTGACAGCAAGAATGGTGGAAAGGGTCCCACAAACTCGTTGGAAGAAACATCAATCTTTGTTAACATATAACATGACTTCACTTCATCTGGTATCCCAAGGCCAAACCTGTTGTTCTTCAGCACCAAAGACACTAACTTTATGGGCAGAATGGGGAAATTCGGGCCGAAACCATTCCCTTCCAAATCAAGAATTTGGAGATTTGTCAAATTGCGAAAATTTGGCAAATTCCCAGAGAGATTGTTTGCAGAAAGAACAAGAGTTCTTAATGGTTTCAACCCAGACAATGATCTTGGCAAGAAACCAGAAAAAGAATTGTTCTTTAGACTCAGAACAGTCAAAGAAGGGAGTGAAGCTAGCCAGTCAGGAATCTGACCTGTGAACATGTTGTTGTCCAACACAAGTGTCTGGAGGCCCTTCAAAGAAGCCATCTCCATTGGAAGGGACCCACTGAAGAAATTTGAGCTTAAATTCATGATTTCCAGAGAAGACAGAAGCCCAATACTTGAGGGCAAAGGGCCTCTGAGGCCCAAAGAAACTAAAGTGAGGACCTTCAAGTTAGGGAGGGCATCAAGATTGGAGAAAAGGGCAGAACTGGAAATATCTCTGGGAGATTTGGCGAAGAAGGTGAAGTTCCCATTGAGATGAAGCTGGGTTATGTTGTCCTCATAGCAAACTAGGGTTAAGATTGGGATTGGGTTAGTGTTGCAGAAATCTGAGCTATCACTCCAGCTGCTAAGCTCTTCTGGTAAACTCATCTGCTGCTTTATCTTCTGAACAGCCATATACTGCGCAGGTGGAAGGATTTGCTCTGAGTGATGAACCATGAGAAAGAAAAAGAAAAATCTTAGCTGTAATGGGTTCTTCTTCTTCTTCTTCTTCATCTGCACCATCTCTTCCATGGCAGACTTTCTGCTACTTGGCTTAATTGGGATTTCACTGGGATCTTGATTTTCACTTTTTTTTTTTGGTTTGGGTGATTTATTTGTAAACTGGATGAGAAGTGGAAGAGAGCTACATCAGTGACAGTTGAAGAAAAAGAAGAGCTGCATGCATTATTGGCTGAAATCTTTTGCATCCGTGCTGCTGTACTGTACCACCACAGCAATAATACTTCTTATAATTTACACTACTTTACGCAAAATAATTTCCATTTCTTTTTTTTTGTTACTTTTTAAGAGTAAATGTCAATAACATCCTTCCACTTGAACACCCATCGATTCAAATTCATTCACCAAATAAACGTGTCATGTCAATATAAGAAAAATACGGAGTATTTACTAAACAAACGTGTTAAGTCAATATGAGAAAAATATTTACTCCTTCCGTCCCATTTTAAATTGCATGTTTTGACTTTTGGACATATTTAAGAAAAAGAAAAAATATAGTTAATTTTTTGAAATTGTCAGTACTTTTTAGAAGGGATGATGATGAATGAGAAGATAAAGTAAAAAAGAGTGATTTATTTTAGAGGTAGTTTAGGTATTTTTACTCTTAAAAGTTTACGGAAACAACTAACAGACAACTTATTTTGGGACGGAGAAAAAAGGCAAACAGAAAATTTAAAATGGGACGGAGGTAGTACTAAATAAACGTGTTAAGTCAATAGGAGAAAAATATTTGTAGAGGGTGTAGTAATTTGGGAAGAAAAGAGAGATGTTATTTTTCCAACATTATTCAATGGCCCCCAAAACGTTAAGAAAAGAAAACAATAAGAGAGGTGAGGTCAAATATGTGACAAATGTCAGTGGCGGGCGCAGGTTGTCTTCTAAGTCCGTGTGTATTATTAATATCTGAGGTGAGTCACGGACTCGCTTAGTGTGTAATTAGGTGCGGGCAAAAATACGGGTCCGAGTTTTGAACAGACCGATACTATACCAATTGAAAAGTGACTTTTCAAATGACTCTTGTGAATTATATATCTCGAACCAAACGAGCCATTTTCAAAATGGTACACGAAGAGTTTTCAAAAAATAAATATCGAAAATGTTGAATTGAACCCTTACCATCAAAATATTGCAGGTGATATTTATTTGATGTAACTTTCACATATTTAAACTTATATTTTTATAATACTTTATATCTCGAAGTACAACTCGAATTATAATTTTATTTGCTGAAAATGAGAGCTATGATTAAGCATTTTAAAATTTTTTAACTAAGCAATACACATGTTGAGTAAGAAACTAAGGATGCGTACATATTTGTACACTAATTTTTTTAATTACGTCAGTTATTTGTTATAGATAAAAATATATTCAAAGCGTCGAAGTATATTATGGAGTGGTTTGACATTAGTATGACATGGTACCATCTTATTACCGAACGACGTGGTAACGAATGTGTTTAGGCGTAAAACCAAAACCGTATTGAACCGTTTGAATAGTAACAGTATGGTATGAATTTTTTAAAAATACTAAATCGTCAAGGACTGTGCTCACACCTAAAAGCAATGCCCACTCATTTACCGTCACCCACACATATTTTTTGTCCGGGTCATGCTAGGGTATTCCAAAAGATTGCTACCAAGGCTTCTTCCCAAAGATGACATAGACATAGGCCGTGTTTGGAAAACAGCATTTCGGATAGCTTTTAGCATCTTTGACTGACTTTGGCTTTTTTGACCAAGCAAACTGTCAAAACCATTGTTTGGCTAATGGCTTTTTCACTTGGCCTTTTGATCCGAAAAGCCAAAATCTGAAATGACAAGGGGAGTAGCATTTGGACTTGGCGGTTAGGAAAAATAATTTTTTTAAAATCATTTTTTTTGAAAGATATTTTATATTATATGTAAAAAATAAAAATAAAAGTAAAAAAATTAAATACTAAAAAAAATAAAATTTAAAATTTAAAAATTTCAAAAAATGAAATGAGAAAATAAAAAGTAAAAATATTTTAAAAAAATTATATTAATAATTTATTATGAATTAAATGAAATTAAAATTTAATACTCCATATAGTAAAGATTTAATTTTTACATGTAAAAAAATGAAAAATAAATATCGTGTGTGTGTGTCTATATATATATATATATATATATATATATATATATATATATATAACTATTTTCAAACAGCTAATTTTACCAAACATTTTTAACGATCAGTCAATTCATTCTGCCAGTCAAACCAGCTAAACTAAACAGCCATTCACAACAGCTGAGACGAACTGTCAACTGCTAACACCCAACATCCAAATAAGGGCACAGTAAGATCATAATTACGTGTGCCAAGCATAATTACATAACCACACCGGGAAAACTTACCTCTTCCCGACTCGGCTTCGCCGCCCCTTAAACCCATCACCGTCTAACGCCCGTAGCCGGTTAAACCCTTACCGTCTAACGCCGCCGGCGAATCAAACATCAGTTTTTTCCTAATTTCTTCTTGTACGGAGTATTACTTATCCTTCAGAAAGTTCTGTCCCAGAAATTTTCAATCATCCTCTTGAAACTTGTTTGGTTCTTCTATTCTAGAAGTCCCAACTTCACAAACTCCACACTGAATTTCCGATTCGAATCGCATTTGGTTCTCTATGCTTTTGTCTGGAAAGCATTGGAATTCGAATTAGGGTTTGTTAAGTTTTTTGGGTCCGGAAGTAATTTATTTGAAAGGGAAGAATTGAAACCGGATGGTTAGGCTCGGATTTGGTACAGTATCGCGTAATCCGGAAGATCTTCTTCTTCGTTCTTCTGCATCAATCTCATCCTACACCCCTCTTCCTCATTATCGGTAGGGTTCCGGGAACGGCATAGAGGAACCCTAGAATTGAACCGTTTAAGAGGGCCTTCCAAACAAAAGGCTTCCATTCCACTTGGAATTAAATTCAGTTCAATTCCACTACAGCAAAAGTTTGCAGACAGGCCGCTTAGTATCTCTAATATATCATAATGAATGCCCCAATTATAGGTAATGGAAAGAGATTTCGTTTTGCAGATACGTTTGTGCTCAGTTTGTGGTCTTTAATTAATTTGGTTATATTTATGGGGTTTTCATTAATTTTGCATTGTGTTATGTTCTTCCTTGATTGAAGATCCACTGCAGGGGGATTTTCCAGAGGTCATAGAAGAGTATCTGGAGCATGGAACCATGAAATGCATTGCATTTAACCGTAGGGGAACACTTCTTGCTGGTATAGCTCAAAAATGCAGAATTGTTATTACTTATTATTATTATTACATATTATTATTACTATTGCAATTTCTTTTATGATGTTAGTTCTTGTGCATTACCAGCTGGATGCTCTGATGGAAGCTGCGTTATATGGGATTTTGAGACCAGAGGAATCTCAAAAGAACTCAAAGATAAGGATTGTGTTGCTGCAGTCACTAGTGTATGCTGGTCAAAATATGGCCACCGCATACTTGTATCGGCTGCAGATAAATCTTTGATGCTCTGGGATGTTGTCAAAGGAGAGAGGATAACACGCATCACCCTTCAACAAACCCCGTTGCAAGCTCGTTTACATCCCGGTTCCTCTACCCCAACTACTTGCTTGGTGTGCCCTTTGTCATCCGCTCCAGTGATTGTTGACTTAAACACTGGAAGCACAATTGTGCTTCCCGTCTCAACTCCTGATGCAGGGAATGGACTTACACAGCCCTCGCGCAATAAATTTTCGGATGGATCTGCACCTTTCACGCCCACCGCAGCCTGCTTTAACAAGTATGGAGATCTGGTTTATGTTGGAAATTCCAAAGGGGAAATACTTATACTTGACTATAAAACGGTCCAGGTGCTTGGTATTGTTTCCATTCAAGGTAGTGCTGTGGTAAAGAATATTGTATTCAGCAGGAATGGACAATTTCTTTTGACAAACTCTAACGATCGCATTCTCAGGATTTATGAGAACCTTCTTCCTTTGAAAGACGGGCTTAAAAGCATATGCAATGCAAGTGATAACTTAAATGATCTAGAAGGGATAGAGAAATTGAAAGCTGTAGGGTCTAAGTCTTTAGCCTTATTTAGGGAATTTCAAGATTCCATCACCAGAGTGCACTGGAAGGTCCCATGTTTTAGTGGTGATGGAGAGTGGGTAGTTGGTGGTTCTGCTAACAAAGGAGAGCACAAAATCTACATTTGGGATAGGGTTGGACGTCTTGTTAAAATACTTGAAGGCCCAAAGGAAGCGCTGACAGATTTAGCATGGCATCCTGTCCACCCTATTGTTGTTTCAGTTTCACTACCTGGGTTGGCCTATATTTGGGCCAAGGATTATACTGAGAACTGGAGTGCATTCGCTCCAGATTTCAAAGAACTTGAGGAGAATGAAGAGTATGTAGAAAGGGAAGATGAGTTTGATCTGGTGCCTGAAACAGAAAAGGTAACAATGGAAACTTTTGGAGCAGGCTTAGTCTTGTTTTTTGTATCCATAAAAAATATGTTCCAAATTTTTTGTGTCTCCAGGCTAAAGAGTCAGATGTTAATGAAGATGAAGAAGTTGACATTGTGACCGTGGAGAAAGATACAACTTTCAGCGACTCTGACACATCTCAGGATGAAATACTTTTCTTGCCAGTTGATCCTACGCCTGATCATCTTGAGCAGCAGGACAAGTGTGTTGGTAGTACTTCAAAGCCAGGGGACAGCAATCAGTCAGGATCCCCTCATTCAGAAGAGGCTGAACAGAACGGCCGAACTTCTAACCATGAAGCCAGTCCACCTGAAGGTGTGTTTTCTGTCATTGTTATTAATAATTATGCTGTTACTTATCCCATATTACACTGATCAAATCATCCAGTTTATTTTGCATTTGAAATCAAAATTCAAGATCTATTTTTATGTCATCATATACTAGCTTCTGAACTTGCCATTCATAAAGTATAAATATTGGACTTCGCCAAACACTCTATCTGTAATTCTGCCTTTCTTTGAGCAGTCGTTTGAGATGCTTGAAAAGTTCTATGATGCTATTTTACAGCCTTCTTTTATTTTCATCTTCATGGGAGAGTGTTTCCCAATAAATTGCTTTTGGCAGATTGATAAAAGCCTTTTCATTCACTTTTGCTAATTCCTTTTGTAATGTGAATTGGAAACATACTCTCCTAATGGATCATATTGTAAATTTCTTTTATTGTCAATGTCTGAAAAATAGCAAAATTATTGGGGAAGTTATGACCTGTTTTAAACATGATGTTATATCTATTCTAACTTGGCTTGTAGCCATTTTTTGGCACCATTGCTTACCAACTTTTGGCAGATTGATAAAAGCTTTTCCATTTACTTTTGCTAATTCATTTTGTAATGTGAAATGGAAACATACTCTCCTAATGGATCATATTTTTAACTTTCCTTTGTTGTCAATGTCTGCAAAATAGCAAAATTATTGGGGAAGTTATGGCCTGATTTAAACATGATGTGAATTATATCTATTCTAACTTGGCTTGTAGCCATTTTTTAGCAACATTGTTTACCAACTTTTGGCAGAATGATAAAAGCCATGCCATTTACTTTTGCTAATTCATTTTGTAATGTGAAATGGACACATACTCTCCTAAATCTTAATGTATCATATTTGTGAATTTCCTTTATTGTCAATCTCTGTGAAATAGCAAAATTATTGGGGAAGCTCTGACCTGTTTTAAACATGACGTCAATTATATCTGCCCTGACTTGGCTTGTAGCCATTTTTTTTAGCACCACTCCTATCCCTAGATTTTAATGTTTGTACATTGTCTGGTATTAGTTTCTCATGCAAGGTTCAACTGGTGTTTTGTTTCTTCATGCAGCATTGGATAATTCTGCTGCCGAAGATACAAGTGCAAAAGGGCTGAAGAGGAAAAGGAAGCCTTCCGAGAAGGTATTGGAGTTGCAGGCTGAGAAGGTTAAAAAACCATCTCAGAAGAAAACATCTGGTAAACGTCAAAACTAGACGTAATGTACAGTTCAAGAGGGAATCATTTTTTGAAACTTTTGTGGCGGAAGACATATGTTTGCTTTATTGTATCATTGCCTAATCCTACACTAGGAGAACCCTTAGTCCCTTCTTCTGTTTTGTGGAAGGTTCTGAAAATTTGACCCCACAGTATCACCCTTTCTCAACAACTAATGTTCGTGCTGTGTATTTATTTATTGAAAATGCAATTCTTTATCAGTGCAATCTTATTTAATGAAAATAAAATTCTTGATCAATTCAATCTTAATTGTTTATCTGGTGGCAAGCAATGGAAAAGAACTTTGGGCAGAATGATGTGTCTTCATTCTCTTTTTCTGTTCATATTAGTGGCAGCACTAGTGGTAACTCATTATAGAACATTTAAGACATGTTTCTTTTTATTGAATGTAATAAATGTTCAACCTGATTATAATAAAAATATATAAATAAAGTGGATATAGTTTGACCCTATGAATAGTATATGTAAAATTCTTTTTGGGATGGAGGGGGTATTATTTTAATTCCATGTCTGCATTCCCAACATTTTTTTGGAGTTTAGACTAGACCAGTATGTACAGCTTTATCAACTAAACATGGTAAAAGCTTTTTCATGAATTATATTCTCAATTTCCTTTTTTTAGTTTTTTAATTTGAAGTGTACATGGCATGAAATAAAAATGTTAAATGTTCATAAAGAGGCATGTCAACCATGGAATCAATAACCAATTTACCTTTCGTTTGCCAATCAGTACAACTACTTAAGTATATCAAGTGAGTCTTTAGTAGTCATCTACGTACTTGTCACGTGTTCCAATATTTTGTATAACGGATCTCTCGTTTTTCCACACACACTCACGCACACACGACACAAGCACCACCTAGCTAGTAGCTACTTTGGCATTTCCTAGCTGGTAAATCTGTTAACGAGTGTTGGTGCACTCAGACTTATGAGTTGCTCAACATCCTCAAAATTTCAAGCCAGTCACAACTTATTGCAGACTTTTTTTATTTTTTACATTATTTCCACATTACTTCAGCATATGCTAGCCTTGATTATTGTGTTCTACATAGGACTCGAGATGTACGTAGTAATTTTTAATGATACTATGATTTAGTTGTTGGATCACTTGGAGTTTGGATGCTTCAAACATGATAGTCCCATTAAGTAATCAATAATCATTTTATTTGTTAGAATCTAGTGTTCTGTGTGGCTTTCGTTGCCAACAGAGCTAAACGAATTACATTTGACGTCCCGTCAATTTTTTTAAAATGTTTGACGATGTTTTAGCCCCAGGGTATATATTGGACTAAATCAACATGACACATTAAACTTTATATGCTTCTTACTTTCTATGAAGGTCTGGCAAGTAAATGCAACAATGCATCAAGGGTCTAACTGAAATAGTCTCTCTACAATACATAAACTTGGCAGCCCCTCAATACAGCTAATCATTCATGTCAAAGACTTTTATTTATAGTCATTCTGTCATTGAGTTGCTGAAACCTTAAAAATTGTCTAGTTACTTCACTCCAACTCTTGCATTTCCTCATAGGAGGCAGGAGCATCAATGCTTCTCATCTGCAGGTGCCCAATTCACCTCATTTTAGGTTGAACTCACCTCGGTTTAGCTTCATGCATCTTACGTTCCATGTAAACCACTCACACCTTCTCTCAGACAATATCATCCTGAACCAGTCCCCTCATAATATGCTCGGTACCCTCATTTTGCCACCTTCATCTTCTACATGCAGGTGTTCTTAACTGCTCAACAGTCAACACTGTCTTATACAACATAGACAGTCAATTCACTGCTCTATAAAACTTTCCTTTCATCTTTGTCGCACATGACACTTGATGCGAGCTTCCATTTCGTCTAATTTGCTTCGCTATGATGACTGACATACCCATTGATCTCTCCATCAACTCGATTGATAGATCCAATGGTATAAAAACTGTTCCTTTTGGGAGAGGGTAGAGAATCAATCTTCACCTCACACGCTGAAATTGTACTCTATGTACTCAGTCTTAGGCCCCGTTCTAGTCAATTTTGATTCTAGTTATCCAGTCTCCACTCCAGACTCAATCATTTAGTTAAAATTAGACCTTTATTCTGAAAATAGACTGGTTTGCCCCCACAGCTCCAGTCTAGCATTGACTCCCTCAGGTGTTCCATTAACTAAAACGACATCGCCTGCAAATACCATGGACCAAGGTCCCACTCGATATGCTGCGTGACTTCATTCATCACCGCAACAAAAAGAAACAACTAAAAGCAGACTGTGATGTAGCCCCATCTCAACTGGAAAAGGATCAGAGATTCTTCCTAACACCTTTACTCTGGTTTTGACAAACCTCTAGGCTCCAAGCACTGCCAAAACACCTCCTTAGGATTTAGGAACTCGTAGGCCTCCTCTAAGTCAAAAAACACCATGCACAGGTTCTTCCTTTCCCTATGATGCTCCATCCAACTTCCTCAAAATGCAGATGACTTCATGGTTGGCTCTCTCTTCATGAACCTAAATTGGTATGACAGATATAGTTGCCGCCTTTGTCATTCTCCTCTCTATGTCTCGTCTCAAGACTGAGCAATATGTGATATGTCTTGGCTAGGTCTTGAAATACATGAATACGTTATAGGGAATATGAGAATGTTTACCCTGGTGAAGTTCTTGAAATATGACTTTCTTATGGCAAAAAGACTGGGGAGTAGTATTCTTGAAACTAGGGAGTAATGTTGTTTTGGCAATTTTGCATGATCTCATGCGTTGGAAGTTCTTTCCCCTTTCCCTAACAAGATTTGCAGCTATTCTCCAACTCTAGGGACTCATACGCCTCTTCTAAGTCAACAAATACTATGTGTAGGTCCTTCTTCGTCCTTATACTGCTCCATCAACTTCCTTAAAAGGTGGATGAGTGATGGCTTTTGTTGTTGACTCTTTCCATATGAATCTAAACTGATACACGGAAATAGTTTCCTCTTTTCTCATCCTCCACTATATGGACTTTTCATGGACAGAGCTATATGTGATAAATTTTGGCTATATAGGGAATACAGGAATGTTACTTTGGGGAATGTACATATATTAGGAAAATCTCTATGTTAACTATACTTTTGGAACTATGGAATTGGAATTGGAGACTTCAATTCCAATTCTGGTGTTTGGTAGCACAAAAATTATGTAGATTTGGAATTGATAGTGCAAAAAATGAATTGAAATTGACAGAATCCAATTCTATGGAATTGAATCCCATGGAATTTCAATTCCAATTCAATTCCAATTCCACCAATTCCTTATACCAAACGGACCCTTAGATTCTGGTTGTTGGCCATCTTTTATACTCTGTAAAATTACTCCCTTCGTTCCCCTTCATTTCTTAACATGTGTTCTTGGGCAAGATTTGGCAAAGATGGAGTTCACAAAAAAAAATGTAAGTACATTTGAAATATCTCAACTTTGTGTGATTCTTCATGGCTCTCAATGGTTAAAATTCTTTTATTTCACAACTATTTTTTGTAATGAACAACTGTGCCTTTTAAATAAACCTTTTTTGGCATAAACCCATAAAGTTATTATTTCAAGCTAATGTTAGAACTTAGATACTTAATTGACAATATAAATTTCATTCCACAAACCCCATTGGAGCTAGGATCAAGCTCAGTAGTATGTGTTCTTCTACACGCCTGATATCACAACTTTTTTCATTCATAAATCATATGATTGGAACAGTTCTGGGTTTTGCTATGTAAATATTTGAGCAGCTGAATTCATGATAGAACTATAGAAGTCAAGCTGGGAATGAGCCTACGCAGTCACTTGCGTGCGGAAGATGTAAGCCCCAAGTGCTACAATAACAAGCACAGCCACCGCAGCGTTCACCAACAACTGCTTATCTTCATTGGACTCGGTAAGCCTCTTAATAATCACCTGCCTGTAACTTGCAATCTGGCTCTCTGCTTTCTCAGCCTTGTTGTCATGCTTGTTATTGTCTGTTTGAATTAGTGGCTTCTGTGGGGTTGGGTTCTCGCGGTCCTCGCCTGAAGTTGTTTTTGGAGGGGACCCACGACCTTGAGTCTCCTCCTCCTCCTTGTTGTGAGGAGGGACATGGGTTTTTGGGGCGGTTTCCTTGTCACCTTGATCTTGTTTCTTGGTTCGCAGTGGCATTGTTATGGCGAGGATTCCATATTCGAACCTCGCTTTGATAGATTCCTCGACACAGTCGTTCGGAATTGGGAAGTTTTCTTGGAACCTTTTCCATTTGTTTTCGCCAATGCGGTGCTCACCCTCAACGGTCACCCTTCCGTTCTTCTTGCTGACCCTTAATTCATTCCTTTTAAAATCTGTAAACGGGAAATGCAAATTATTCGTCTTATGCATATGCCTAAGAATATCACACATTTGTTGCACTGTAATGCCCCCACCGAAATGTTCATTAAAACAAGTCACTTCTGCTTAATTCTTTGGACATTCATTAGTGACATGAGGATTATATTGGAAGGTCGGGTTTCTAGAAATGCAACGGTTTGTTAGAACATCGAACCAGACGAGTTAGTGTTGAAATGCCATGTCACGTATGTAGTACGCAACAAATATTTCCTCGCAAGGGAATGAAAATAATGCAAAATCTAGAGATGTGTAGAGCGACCTGGAAGACGAACGAGTACCCTTTCTTCCCACTCAAGATGTGGCTTGAAATCCTCATACTTACGATCCCCGACCTCTGTTTTGCCGCTCCTCGGAGTCGTAGGTGCCTTCGACGTATCGCCGATGATGTTTGTGATGGAAATGGGGCAAAATGACCCCTCTTTATATACACATTATTTTGCTTGTGATGCAATTTGCCCTTTGAGATAGGAAAGTTGTTTTCTTTGGGTGCAATTTTAGTACTGTCATTTTGTCTTATTTTATTTAAAAAAATGCTTTGTTTGTGCATGGGTATTTCTATATGCAAGGAGATCAATTATTCTTTTGAATTTGAAGTTTAGACATCCTTTGTTTTGCTCAAGCAATTGGTGAAGAAAAGAAAAGAAGGTTTGTGAAAGGAAATTTGTTTTTCTTTATCTTAGTTTATTTTTTCTCTCGTTTTCTTTTTCTTCTGCTTTACTTTTTATCTTTAACCAAACAAGAAAAAATATTTTTATATCATTTTTTTCCTTTTAAATTTCTTGATTCAATGTGAATATATTATTGGAAAAGTTCTTATACTAGTGCATGTTACCACCTTCTTTGTCCATGCACACTAGGGGCTCGTATTTTGTATCCACATTCATATTTGGAAATGTTGGTGTGGTTCACCTTCATTTTCCCAAATAAATTGTTCCGTTACTCATGTTATATATTTTGTTTCCTAAAACCTTTATTTGATATTTTCTTTGAATATGTAAATTTAGTTCTTAATTTCAAACTAATTTTAGAATAAATTAAATTGAACTAACTTCAGTTAATTATTTTAAACTAAAACATGTAGTTTCAATTGAGACGGAGTGAATACTTTTTAATACCAATATCAATCGATCATCACAGAATGTTACGTGTTTTCAGAGAATGTTAAAAATTCACCACCCACGTCCAAACGCATGATAATATGGACGATTCGATATACATACAGACGATAATTGTTTGTGTTCACTAGTATTATCGTTTCTGTAGATATAAAATCGTCTGTATGTATTGTCATACATACAAGTACACAACCAATACACGTTTAATTGATACATCCTTTTTTTATATAATCAGTTAAACATTTACTGCTAAACAGAATGTATTTGATGGTATTAGCCTCCATGAACTCTGACTTATTTTCTAAAAATAGTAGAACTGACGAATGATGTATGGTGAAAAGAAGTAATTTCAAAATATTAGTCATATATTGTTTTATAAAATATATCTAGTGTATAAACATAGGTATTAATGTTAGAGGTATTGCATGCGATAAAGACCATAAAAAATTCAAAATGGAAACGAATATATCTAATATGCAGAGTATAAATTAATACTCTTTGTCCCTAAAGGAATAAGAAATTCCTCTTAAGTGTGAGTAAATTATAGATAAAATATCAAAATAAGAGCTCCTAATCCCAAAATAAAAGTTTGTACTGTAATAATAGAGCTTTATATATGGATAATTCATAATATTTTAGGTATTTTATATTAGCATGGTTGACATTGTATAAGGATCTTAATTAACCCTTGTTTTAGAAATGAAAAATGAAACTCTTATTTTAATATATTTTCTAAGTTTTAATCCGACTTTAATTTTCCCCCTAAATAGATACACTTTCCTACTTCCGAGTAGGAGCAAGGTCTGCGTACACACACCCTCCCCAGACCCTACTGTAGTGGGATTCAACTGGGATGTTGTTGTTGTTATTGTAACGAGTAAACTACTCTCCATACCTGTTGCCATCCATATATGGTGGGAATTCACAACCAACCATGTAAAATGGCTTGTTATATGCTACAGAGTATAATATGACAAGCTAAGAAAACTTTCATGCTCCAAGGGCCGGGCTTGCTTATTTTTGACAAGTTTGCTAAAAAAAATTCACGGATTTTCGCCCTAAAATATGTTAGGCCCCCACTCCAAACAAATGGAAAGAAAAAGAAAAAAAAGAGCACACAATTTTTAAGGTGGTTCGGCACCTCAAGACCTACTCCACGACCCCCTCTGTGATAAAATCTCACTAGTAATTTTTGCACGGAAAAATTACAAACCCTCTCCAATATTTGACACTCACAACCTAAAATCTAATACACAATTATATAGATTGAAGGATTGTGTTGTGTGATGGAAGCCTATATCCCCTCTTTATTTATAGGCTCCAATCCCTCCTCAAATTTCCTATCCCACCGATGTGGGACTTTGAAGTAACACTCAACAAATCTCCCCTTAATTCAAAGTCCTACATCATTTGCGATTTCTGCAGCGATACTCCCATCCTGTAGAATCTTCTGTCCAGCAGTACTCTTATCTTCAGAGGAGATCATCTTCATAAGTGATCACATTTGCGAAAGAAGCTTCTTTCGATTTGCCCTTCTTCTCCTTTAGGATCTGCAAGTCCTCCTTGAGTTCTAGACAACCGTTCTTCGTGTGACCCAACTTTTCACAGTAATAGCACCTAACAGTGCTCATGTCTCTCAGCTGAGATCTTCTCCCAAGTTGGTCACTCTTCTTCTTCCTCCCTTTCTCAAAACTCACAGCAGCTAGTAAATGACTGTCCCCGGAAGACTCTTCACCTCCCATCATCCTTTGACTCTCCTTCAAGGCAGTCGTCACCTCATCTAGTCGCAGTGTAGTCCTTCCTGCTATCATTGACTGCACAAACGGCTTAAAGGATTTTGGTAGTGAAGCCAGTAGAAGAAGCTCATGCTCTTCATCCTTGATAGTCTCCCCTGCATTTAACAGCCTTGATACTTGCTCATTAAACTTGTTGATGTGATCAATTATGCTACCTCCCTCTTCCATCTTCAGTGAGTACAAGTCCATCCTCATCATCAATCGGTTAGTAAGTGTCTTTGACGCAAACTTGCTCTCCAACGTTTCCCACAGCTTCTTTGGTGATGTCTCTTTCAGCACTTTCACTTTAATCTGTGAGGACAGTGCCAACCGAATTGTGCTGACAGCCTTCTTCTGGATTGTACTCCACTCTGATTCTTTCATATCACTTGGCTTCTCATCTTGCAATGCTAATTCAAGATCTTGCTGGACCAAATAGTCTTGAATCGTGCATTGCCACAACATGAAGTCCGCTCTTCCATCAAATAACGGAACTTCAAACTTCAAGGTAGTCATAGTTCCACTCAAGCAGCAATCAACCAATACCAAACAATCCAAATTTGAGGAAACTGGCCTCAAAAATAGAATCAGGACGTCAAAATTAGTCAGAACCAACTTTTCTCCGAAAGTCACCAGCGGGACCCACACGATGACTGGACCTACTGATGTGGCGCTGACTGGATGATGACCTGGCACTCGGACTCACAGACTGCTGACGTGGCACTCACAGACCCACCTCTGCTGACTGGACCACCACTTCCTCCACTAAAGTGGCACGCCCTCCTCTTGCTCCTTGCTCTATCTCCTTCCTCCCTACACTGCAACTCTGTAATTAATAATTCTTTTCTGATGTGGAAGATCAGTCAAAGCTGCAACCACAGAGCATACTAAGAATTATAATTACCAAATCACCCGAGCTCTGTACCTTGGCTCTGATACCACTTATTAGGCCCCCACTCCAAACAAATGGAAAGAAAAAGAAAAAAAAAAAAGAGCACACAATTTTTAACGTGGTTCGGCACCTCAAGACCTACTCCACGACCCCCTCTGTGATAAAATCTCACTAGTAATTTTTGCACGGAAAAATTACAAACCCTCTCTAATATTTGAGACTCACAACCTAAAATCTAATACACAATTATATAGATTGAAGGATTGTGTTGTGTGATGGAAGCCTATATCCCCTCTTTATTTATAGGCTCCAATCCCTCCTCAAATTTCCTATCCCACCGATGTGGGACTTTGAAGTAACACTCAACAAAATATACTCCGTAGAAAGCAAAAATATGAAGAAAATTGTTGTTTGATTCAGATTTGGCATGCATGAACTACAAATGTTTTATGTTTTAAAGGTTTTTTTATAATTCTACTAGTAATAGTCCTTATGAAGTCTAATTTATAATCTCACTTGAATTGAAGTAAAATTTTATTTTACTTTTCACAAAAAAGTTTATTTTATTTTAAATTATTATTTTTAAGTTTCATACCCTATTACATCGTTTTACTTAATTTTTATCGTATAAAAAATATAATTAATAATTATTATAAGTAAAAACACTATAATAAACTCCATCCGTCCCAAATTAAACTGCTTGTTTATTATTCACAAGGTCAAATTCTACGTATTTTTTTCCTTTATTTCGCTTTGTCATTCAAAAAATTAATATAGTTATGTTACCACTAGTTTTATAAATCTTTTTATATAATTTTTTAAAAATGTAATTTTAATTTTTAAATTCTACATCGTTTTCATAAAATGATTTAAAAATAACTTCAGTCAAACATCGTAAATCGAAACATGCAATTTAAATTGGGACAAGTGGAGTAATTATTAGCTAAATTATAGTTGCGGGGAGGTTGGAAATGACATTGTAAAATGACTTGTTATACCACTATTTACATGTTAAAAATGACCTACTTTAGCAAGTCATGTTTATCAAATGTGGTTGGAGATGCTCTAACAAGGGTGGCATTTGACTTGTTTAGCCTACTTTGTTTTTATTTAATTATAAATATTGGATACAATTCAATTTTACAGATTTTTAAATGCAGACTTATTTTCAGATTAGACTATTAGAGTATGTTGAAAAACAAGATTTTTTTTAATTGAAAAAACATGTCAATAATCTCAAATTCCAATGATCTATAAAATTAAGTCTAACTTTTACACAAATATTAACAATTTAGAACTTAATTGCTTCGATCTTTTAAAAATGAAAGGTATTCTATTGCATTTAGTTTTCTTTAAATTAAACCTTTTGAAATTTGTAATGTGGTTCAGAAAAGAGGGGTAAAAGATTTGAGTTTATTTTTTTGAATGAAATTTGTAATATCATTTGAACTTTGAATCTATGAAGACTCCCTAACATTTTGAGATTCTTAGCAATAAATTACCGCTATAATTATATATATATATGGGTTGAATAAAGTGCATTCAATCTAATGCTAAACATTTTAAAGTTTTTATGAACACTGACTATTTATTATTAACCAAAAGTCATTGGTTATTTTAAGTCATTGGTTAAGCACAACCTAATAATTAGAATGATTTAATTTACACCCCTGACACATGCAACATTTTTCTACATATATATGATATATATAAATAATTGGAAGTTTTTTTTTTATATAATTATTTTTATTTTGACATTCACTTGGTGATCAATATATAAGCCCCAAGTGCTACAATAACAAGCCCAGCTACCACAACATTCACCACCAACTGCTTGGCTTCATCATATGATGGCTCAATATGGCTTTTTTTGGTGAACTTTAGAAGTGGGTTTCCATGATGATTATGATGAGCCAAAGGTGGCTTCTCCTCCTTGTTTTGCATTTGATCATCATGAAGTTGGTTGTGTTTCTTGGTTTGCATTGTAGGCATTGTTATGGTGAAGAGTTCATCTTTGAACCTCATATCGATTTCTTCCATCATAAAGTCGTCTTTCGGAGTAGTGAATTCGTGTTCGAACCGTTTCCATTTGTCGTCTTCGACTTTGCATCTGCCGCTAACTATTAACTTGCAGGGCACAATTCTTTTAATGTCTAAGTTTATCGCTGAAAATCCTGCAAAAAAGAAACGCGTTCATTCACTAGAAGCTGAATGAAGGTAGATACACATGTCTACATTCATTCATTTTTTAAACGCGGAGTTGACTGTGTAGCTAACAAACCTGGAAGATAAATCACCAGCTTATTTTTACTAACTCCGTTCCACCCAAAACATGGCTTGAAATCTTCATACTCAGGGCCAGATGGCTTATCGTCCTTTGACATGTCGTCGTCTAAAAATTATTTATGTGACGATGAAGCAAATTTTACTCTAAAGTTTATATTGACGATAATTTGATGTTTTGTATATATGATTGTCATTCCTTTTTATATACGGAGTACATTATATTAATATTGCAAGTGCTTTTCTTTCTTTCATTTCTAAACAATAATTTTAATATCATAATTCTTTGTTTGTGGATTAAGTTCTAGACTTCTAGCTTAAGGTTTTCTTTCAGGAGGGAAATCAAATATTCTTGGACATTTTATTTATTTATTATTTTACTGTATATATTAATTTAATTATTTCCTAGACCATAAGACAACAAATTCATTAAGCAAGATCTTGCCAAATGGGAAGCTAGCTAGCTAGCTGATGTTCTTTTATTTTGAGGGATTCGAGAATATATTACTCTTTTGTACGTACTTCTTCATCTCATAAAAATATTCTCATTTTGATTTTTAGGAAATACTATAATAGAGTTATATTTTTGTGTGGACTTTTCAAAACTACTCTTGATGTGATTGGTACAAGTAATATTTGGATGATTGGATTATTATTAAAATGATATGATGTGATAGTTAGGGCAAAATTAAAGTTAGTAGGGTCAAACGTGATTTTTAATAGATAGATGAAGAACTTTATGGGACACCAAAATAAAAAAAAAAGGAGAAGAAGTTTATAGGACGGAGGAAGTATAATACTATAAAATTCTTGGTGTGCAATTTTATAAAATAAAAAAGTTGGAATTTTACATCTCATAAATTAGTTAGTTACTACTTCCTCCGTTCCATAAAATCCTTCCCCTTTCGTTTTTTTCTAATTCCCTAAAACACTTCCACTTTCTATTAAAAAACCACTCATACCCCTACTTTTTCATACCTTACCTATCACATCATACTTTTTCACTAATAATCAAATTATCACATCTTACTTTACCCATCACATTAGGGGTAAAATTGGAAAGTCAACCAAAATTACACTTTCCTTATTTTGATCCAAAGTCAAAATAGGAAGTGTTTAAAGGAACAGAGGGAGTACATTGTTATATTCATTAATTTATAAAAATAAATTTTATCTCAAATAATTCAAAGTGTAATGTACAATAACTAAATTTATCTGGGGCCGGGCTCTGCCCTCGGTTTTTTTAATAAAAATAAAATAGAATGACCAAAATAAATAAATTTTATCTCAAGTAATTCAAAGTGTAATGTACAATAACTAAATTATATTGTTACTCCGTATTACTTTTTGATATGACAAATTTGTTGTCTAATTTAATAAATGCGGAGTACAAAATTGTACATTAGTCCAATTTAGGGGATATTATGGAGTTTAATGCACCGTTCCCCCCTGTGATTTCCTAAATGTTCACCGGTGCCCCCTCTGCTTCTAAAACTTACTCCATCCCCCCCACTAATTCTAAAATCCTACTCCATTGCCCCCTCCGTTTCTAAATCCGTAAATTTTAACGGAGCGTGAAGGAAACGCATTTGATATGCGTTTGGTAGAGTATTTTCTCAGCTTTATTGCACCATTCCCCCCTGTGGTTTGCTAAATGTTCACAGGTGCCCCTCTGGTTCAAAAAATTACTCCAT